TTTTTTTTTTTTTTTTATTTTTATAACAATAGTTAATTTTGAAAAATATGGTATGATTAATTGTTAGTGAGATTTTGAGTTTATAATTAAATAATATTAAAATAAAATAATTTAAGTTGATTTGATGTAAAAGTAAGAGATGAATGATATGAAGTGATGATTAGTTTAAATTATATTAGTTGATGAAATAGTGAATTAAAGTTGACGTGATGTGTAAGCATGGTTGATTTGTATTATTTAATTATATGAATAATATTAAAGATAGTGAAATTGAGTTAAAATTGAGTTAGATTTTGGGTATGAATTAAAAGTGAGTGATTTTTTTTTTTTTTTTTTTTTAAACAAGCACCCGAATTCTTGAATTTCGTGGTATTGAGTAGTAGTGTAGTACGTTTTGTTAAGAATCGGGCCATTATTGTCATCTAGTAGAACCGAGAAGAAAATGGAGTTTCATTGTAATTGATGTCAATCATCCAACTTACGTCTGGAAATACTTCGGCATTTTGCAGGATTGGTTTTGTGCGGACATGAAATTTTACATATTTTGAACTTTGGAGTGAACTCGAACTGTAATTGTTACCATATTTCTGTGGTGATATTTATTAATAGATTTGGCAAGTTAATTTTTTGGTTGTGTGAGTCCGATATATTGTAATTTGTAAAGCCTAGTGCCTATTTCTTACGAGCTACATAAAGATATTTCATTTCTTTATTTCAATACATGTTTGAGTAGTCTATTACTAGCTACATAAAGATATTACTTTGTTTAATTTTTTCACAATGCTTCCCAATGTTCCATGTATTTTAAGACCTTATCAATAACTAATAGGAATTTTTATATTATAAAGCATTTTGTCAACTTAAATTACAAAATATTTTAAATTTATTAACTTTTTTATTTGTACTCGGTTTTGCAAATATTACAGTATCTACCTTAATTAATAGTACAACATAAATTGTCTAACCATTCATAATTGAAAAGTAATAATGATACTAAAGTTTATTAATTAAAGAGAATATTAATCGATTACATTATCCCCCTATATATTAATACAGAACGCGCTGAGCCTACGTGGCTGCTTCTGGTGCTTCGGAATTCTATGTGACAAAATTACATGCTTCGTTATTAGGCTTGGTTAAATTTTAATTTAATTCCAAACAAAAAAATAATTAGGTTCGGATTACCATAAATATATTGATTATTTATGGTCATGTTACATGTATTAATTGTATTTTAATATCATTCCTTATTATAACTATTAAATTGTATATATATTTTAAAAGTTAATAACTTTTGTATTTTTTATCAGTTTTACATATGTAATATATCAAATTAATCTTCTTTTGATGAGCTTCGATTTAACATCCATATTGTATGTATAAAAAAAAAATTTATATTTATCTTTATAGCAATAATAAAATTATTGTTAATATTAATTAGAAATAAAATTATTTATCAACTAATATATTATATATCAAGTAGTTATATCATATATTTTATAAAAACTATTGTAATATAACGCATGTAAGTCATCATTAACACATATCATTCTAAAATATATAGTAATATATATTTTTTTTAAAAAAAAAAGTAAACTAAATTTAATATAGTTTTCTCATTAATTTTAAAATTTAAGAATAATTTTTCAACAAGCACCCGTGTAATACACGGGTGTTGTACTAGTATAATATTAAGTTAGAAAAAAGGTTTTGTTGGGGGGGGGGGAGATCAATGAGTGTCATCCTAAACAAAATAAATATATATTTTAGGAAGTATTTATTTGTAGGTATAACTGTTTTAGATTAACAGTCGAGTAATACAACTACTGTTGTATTTATGATATTCTAAGCAATGAGCTTTTCCACTTGTAATTCGATTTCCGATTAATTTTACCAAATCGAAATCAAATGATAAAATATCCCTCTACATCTTAATAAGCTGGAGTTGGTGCTTTATTAAAGGCCACGTGTACAGCTTACCACTCCTGCATAAGCGTTGTTTGTTTTCTTGGGCCTTTATTGGACCTATTTTGTTTCCGTTGGAAAAAAATTTGACCAACCTAAATTTTAGGGGTTTTTTGGATTTGCAATCTAATATATTTAATTTTTGATAAATTGCAATCTCAACTATACGTAATTGGTAAATACCAACCTAGGTCACCGAAACGGCAGAGCTTAAGGGTAAAGTTGTAATCTTATATCATATCATACTATTAAAATATTATTCCTCCCCAATTTGTTCAATCTTATATCCCAATTTCCCCAATTTCGCGATTTCTCCATTTCCACAATCCTAAAGCTTTGGTTCTTCAGGGAAATAGTGTAGAAAATTCGTGAGCAACGCACGACTATTACAAACTAATAGATTCTTTCTAGATTATGGTAACTTTGCTGCACTTAATTTATTACACAATGTTGGCACTTTCTGGGATGGTTTACGGATTTGATGTTTTCGCTTTTTTTTTTTCTCTATGATTTTTTGCACGTGTTAACTCGCAGTTATTTAGTATTATATTTCATCACAATGGTTCATTTGTCAATCATAGTGGTAGAACAGAGTACACCGACCGAGATGTAGCTATAGCTCATAGTGGTTTTTGTGACCCTGAAATATATGGTTAAAATTCTATGTATGGCTAAGGAACTTGGGTTATCTAGGATTAAGTCCTTCTATTACAGTAAAACAGAACCAACGAAATGTCATGATCCTTTTATTCTTGAAACTGATAGTGATGTTTGTTGCATATGTAAGATAAGATTACAAGTATACCTTTACAAAAGTTGCCAGTTCCGCCGCTTAAGGAGTTTTCCAGCCAATTTCGGTGGCCGCATTTATCAATTACGTATAGTTGAGGTTGCAATTTATCAAAAATTAAAGAAAAATGCTATAAGTACATAATAAATGTACATAAAGGTGTACATAACACTCACATGAAGTGGGGTCCACTTAATTTTTTATTTTAGGAGGACCCACTTAAAGTGAGTGTTATGTACACATCTATGTACACTATTATGGAGTAATACTCACCTACCCACGGTGGTCAATTATTTAATATGTTCACCGCTTATGTGGCATGCACTAATTGGTGATGTATTTTTTTAACATATTAACATCACCAATATCTGCATACCACATTGGACATATTAACATGTGCCCACCGTGAGTAGGAGAGCATTATCCCACTATTATGTACTATAGCATTACTCAAAATTAAATATTAGGTTGCAAACACGCAAAAGGCCTTGAATTTCAGGTTGATCACAATTTTTTTCCCTTTCCGTGGATATAAATTTGCGACTTTTTCATCTGATCGAAAATAGGGTTTCGTTTTCGAAGGGAAATTCTCTCCTCAGTTTTCTCTTTCTTAATGCATCTTTGTTTTAAATGAATGTTTTAACCGATCAAGGGGTTTGGCCTTATAAACCCACATATATGTATGATAAATTTTTATTATTAGTAACTTTTTTGCCTATCCATTATTTTCTTTAGTTTTATTTTTTTATTTTATTTTAATTGAAATTTGTTTGGCCGTTTTTGAATGACTTAATTTTCCTGGTGTAGTTTGTATCTGTCAGATTGTCACTACTAATAGAGGGAGACGAATCCAACGGATCAATGTACAGGTCTTGCGAATAGAGGTAAAGATAATGAACTCATGTCTTTCTTTACAATTTACACTCTTTTTATATATTTAGGCTCCAAATATATATTGGTTTTTGTATACAATGCATGTACTGTTTTGGAACGAGGATAAAAAATGGATGATTAATGGGGTAATAAACATGATCCAAAGTCCAAAAATCGGAGGAGAAGAAAGTTGGCCCATGTCCAGAAGGCTAAGACAGCAAAGGATGACAAATTGAGGCTGGTCATGAGAGTAAATAGTATCCAATACATATGTAATATTATTAACAACAACAACAACAACATACCCAGTATATTCCCAATTGGTTGGGGTCTGGGGGTCAGTTGTACGCAGACCTTACCCTTGTAATTATACAAAGAGACTGTTTCCGTAACGACCCAAGGTGCATTGCGTCGTTTGATTTTTATTTTTTTCTAGAAACTTCACTAATAGAAGAAGCACTAGAATTTAATTGAGCCATTTTGATCTAGTCCATTATTAGCACTATGCCAGGAGAATTGTCAACAATGACTCTT